AGCACCACAATTCAAAAGCATCAATTCTTCAGCGGTCAGCATTCTTTATGGTCCATCTCTCACTTCCATACATCACTACTGGAAAAACCATAGCTTTGACTATGCAGACCTTTGTCGGCAAGGTGATGTCTCTGGTTTTTAAGGTGCTGTCTAGGTTTCGTTGATTTCCTCCCAAGAAGCAGACATCTTTTAATTTTGTGGCTGCTGGCACCATCTGCGGTGATCATGGAGCCCCAGAAAGTAACATCTTTCACTGCTTCCATATCTTCCCTTTCTACTTCCCAGGAGGTGATGGGACCAGTGGCCATGATCTTAGTTGTTTTAATGTTGAGCTTCAGACCATTTTTGCGCTCTCTTTCACCCTCATTAAGAGGTTCTTTAATTCCTCCTCACTTTCTGCCATCAGAGTGTTATCGTCTGCATATCTGAGGTTGTTATTTCTTCCGGCAATCTTAATTCCAGTTTGGGATTCCTCCAGTCCAGCCTTTCGCATGATGTATTCTGCATATAAGTTAAATAAGCAGGGATGCACATCAGTTAAATGAACATGGAGATTAGTGAGATGTTAAATAGCAGTTGTGATAGAGAATCCTCTTGAAATATTCCTCTTTTGTTGTTAACTTCCTCAGTTTCTTCACCATTTTCCATGTTTTTCTTGAGGAACTTTGAATATTTTTATTAATCCCAAATTGTTTTTTGACAAGTGTTAATTCAACTGTGTGGGAATGAGTCAAATACCTTTTTATAGTCTATCCAGTCCATGTTAAAATGTGTCTTTTGACTTTTTTCATTCTTTAATTTCATTTTATTAATGAGCATCTGACCTTTCATACCTCTTAACTTTTTAACTCTTGACTTTTTAAAGTTCTTTTTCTGTTGAGTTGGATATAAAGAGCTTTCAGTTAAGTAATTATATATTGATCTTGCAAGTACAGTACTGTGCTTCTGTGAGGAGCTTGAACATTGTTACTTGCTTCTTAATCATTTCAGTTCTTATTACATCATCCATGTTTTCCTTGATTTTGTTTAGAAATGTATTTAATCCATGAGGCACTTTTTTATGTCCATTGGGCTCTCCTAAATTTCTTTCCAAAGTTTTAGAGCACCATCTTTACATGGGCCTAATTTCTTATGCTCTGCATTTTCCCCAGTGATTGATAGAATAATAGTTGGTTATTTTGAAATTGTGTGTTTCCCCCATATTCCCTATTTGGGTGCTTCCTTTTCCAAATTTCCATAATTCTTTTTTGGAAACCACAGGCTGTTGGGTTTGCTTTGTCATAACATTTCCTAATTTCTTGATTCTTGGCAGGAGTCCAAGTTTTGCATTTAAGTTATTCTAGTAGCTTTGTGGCAGCCTGTCCTAGTTCTTCAACAGGGTCTGCTGAGCCCTGTAGCCCATATGTCCAGGGGGCTATAGTGTCTGACGTGGTCCTTGTTAACACAGGTGACAACTGATCTGGTATGGATTTCTGTTTATTTTCATCATAATTTCCAGCACCCATCATGTCTTTCAATTTTATTTGCTGTAGCTGTTACCCATTGTTTTAATTCTTCCATAATTTCAACAATTCTTTTCCTTTCTAGGTCATATCTTTTGCATAATCTAGTATTTACTTTTTCAGTCTGAAGTTTTAAATCTTTTAAGTTGCTAATGTAATTTGTAGAGCTTGAAAAATGCACTCATCTCTGATGAGTGAAAAATGCTGCTGGGTGAGTCACCGCTCCCTCCCTGCCTGCCCCTTTGACGGTCTCTCTCTAATCCTGCAGTCTCTCTAATCCCATGGCAAAAGGAAAACTGCCCTCTTCTCGTGAGAAGAGAGTTCGGGCGGCAGATAGAGATATTGCTCTGCAGGAGAATGTAGAATAGTCCCATGGTGGAGAATCAGTGATTCCCAATCCCAATAAATTGCAAGGCTATATATAGTCCAGTCATGCTGACTGGTGATAACTTTGACTGACTGGTGAGACATTCTAAATTTTTTCAAGCCCTGGTAATTTTTTCTAGTCAATTTTTTCTGTTTTGGAGTGTCAGTTTTCTGAAGCTTCTAGCCAAGTTCCATGGTTATTATGGTACAGTAGTTGTGCTATACATGAGCTGGTTCATTTCTTTTAGTGTGTTGGTTAGGATTGTTTTGATTACTATATTTGTATCAGTAGATCTTTTACTGATTTACTTTGGAATTGGTGCAAAATGGGGAGCCTTTGTCTTTCTGTGCCTTGGCTAATACGGGTTACTATTTTTTCCCTCAGTGAAGTCTGCCATTCTGTCAACTCATAATTTCTGGTTAGTTCCTTAAATGTTCCTCTGCTGATAACAATATCTTCCACTATTGTGCCTGCCTCTACCCTCCATTTGTCTTCCATACTATGGTCATTGTTCTGTGTTGACTTTTCTTTTGCTAGCTTTTCTAGTTGTTGCAGTTCCATTCTGAAAATATTTTATTCTGGATGATAAACCTTCTCTGGCCCATTAACTGTTGTTCAGTTATGTCACTATTTGGGTGTTTCCTTTTCCAGATTTCCATAATTCTTTTTTGGAAACCACAGGCTGTTGGGTTTGCCTTGTCATAACATTTCCTAATTTCTTGATTCTTGGCAGGAGTCCAAGTTTTGCATTTAAGTTATTCTAGTAGCTTTGCAGTAGCCTGTCCTGGTTCTTCAACAGGGTCTGCTGAACCCTGTAGCCCTTTTGACACCAGCTGTCCAGGGTGCTATAGCATCTGATGTGGTCCTTGTTGACACAGGTAACAACTGATCTGGTATGAATTTCTGTTTATTTATTTGCATCATAATTGATGGGTGGTGGACACAGCTGGTCAGGCTTCTCAGTTTGAGATCTGTCTGGTTTGGGAGATCCTTCTGGTAGAGACACTACCTCCAGCATCGCTAAAGCACACAAGCCCCTCCACCTCAACAAGACCTGTGACCATTGTGGGGATTCTATTATTATTTTTAAATCTTATATATTGTTTACTTTCTATTTTTTATTATTGTGTATGTTTTTTTTTAAATCTTCAGATCTGTTATTTGTAACATTCATGCATAGATAAATAATAAATATATATATAATTATCATTACCATAATTATCATGTGCCATCAAGTCAATTCTGACTTAATGGCAATCTATTCTTGAAGGCTTTCACAGCTGGGATTCAATGGTTGTTGTAGGTTTTTTGGGCTGTTTGGCCGTGTTCTGGAGGTTTTTCTTCCTAACGTTTTACCAGTCTCTGTGGCTGCCATCTTCATAGGACAGGAGTTAGAGCACAGACAGAGTTCTGGTGAAATGTTAGGAAGAAAACCCTCCAGAACACGGCCAAACAGCCTGAAAAACCTGCAACAACCATTAATGACAATCCTTTTCAGGCTTTTCTAAGTAGAGAATACTCAGAAGTAGTTTACCATTCCCTTTTCCAGAGGCAAACTATTCTCCCAGGAGGCACAGTAGGGAATCAAACTCCCAACCTCTGGCTGTGCAGCCAGATACCTAACTCATCGAGCTATCCAGCCAGCAAATGTCTAATAATAGTAAGCTTTTAAAACTTTTAAGAAATGTTTAATGAATGTTGACAAGTTTATTCTTTAAGAACTTTCAGACAGTTGATGACCACTGAACATTGCAGGGCAGAACGGGAAAATGGAATAAGCAGAAAGAAAAAGGAGCCAGCAGAGTGGGAGAGCTTGGGAGGAGGAGGGAGGGAAGCATGGTGGCAGAGACAAATGATATGCAGAGAAAAGAAGTGGGCACAGAAATAATTTCTGGAAATATTTAGTACCAGCTGGGTCTTGCCAATAGCCAGTGTTGGCTGCAAGAACTGCCTGTATCCCCAGCCTCTATTGTCCTGATAATTTATTGCCAAGAGAATGTGGCTGTCACTAGGGAGCAAATAGGTTATTCAGCCATCTTACAGAATATGCTGCAATATCCTAGAAGCCTCCCCTCCCCATTTCCTCAGTTACTTTTAACCATCTGAGTATTTATGTTAGCTACTGACCAGGTTCTTCTTTTTACACAGATAAAGCTTCCTGCTATAACACCAAGATACCCATACAGAACACCACAACCTGCTGCAACTAAAGAATTCCATGGAGGAAACAGGCTTTATTTCCCTCCAATGTTAGTAATATGCAATGTTTGTCTTTTAAATCCGGTTTGTTCTACGGCATGTACTTATGAAGGCACTTTGTGCACTGGTATAAATAAGCCTTGTAAATAAGTCCACACAAGTTGCAGAATTGCTGGAGGTTGACAATAGGGGGCCTGGGCAGTGCACCCTTCCTCTAGCAGTCTTGCTGCATTGGGATGCTGAACTCAGAAAAGGAGTCCCTCTCCAGTTCTTTTGGTGCTTGTGTGGAGAGGAAGAATGAAATGAACAGTCCCTTAATCATCTCACTCTCTTGCATACATGCATTTGCTTGCCTCCTGTGGCTACAAAGAGTGCTTAAATTAAAGGGTGGCATAATGTTATGTTACCTTCAGACTCCATGCCATTTTAGTGAGTACAATACATTTTATTGTGATATATTTAGTTCCTGTTAATCTTAAGCATATCAGTGAAAGTTATGACTAGAGACCTGTTGCAGGATTGCAAATGAGAACGAAAATTACATAGGCACTCTGTTTCACCATCAGGCTCTCTGTTGGCTGTGAGATCAATTGCACAACAGGGCCTTGTTAGAGGGGAAAAACTGCTCTCTGAGTACAATTATATACATCATTGTCATGAGTAGGATTTTGGCCTAGAAATTTAAGTATATCAAAATACAAATTTTGTTAAACAAAATAACCAGCATGTTTTGTAATATCAGCTAATTATACAACACTTTTGTACAATGGCAGAACTCTTGCATAAGTTATGCCAGCAGAAGAGTGATGATGTCAGCAGCAGTGGGAGATTTTTTGGGAATTAAATAATTGCCCCTTTTCTCCAGCTTCTCTGATTCTCAGAATAATCCATTTCATTTCATGGAGGGAAGAAGGAAGTCTTTAATTACGAAAGATCTCCCTCTAGTGATGACATCATCCAGCAGCCGCCATTTTTAGCAATTAATTTTTTTTTTTCTGTTTTGTGGCTCCAGCAGCTTGCAGACAATGGAGCAGATGACTTGGGAGTCAAGTCACAAGAGAAAAGGAAGAAGTCTTGAATTACTGAAAATTGCCCCCACCCCTGTAGGTGACAACATCACCCTTCTGCAGACATAAACTATGCCATATGTCATCCTGTATAAGGACTAGTTTTATCCCATATAAATCCAGGATACTGCAAAATTAATTCATTAATTTAAAAAATAATACACAAATAGATCAGGATCTATTGGGATTTTTCCAATGAGCCTGCTGATTCTGCTAGAATCAGCTATCTCCTGCCTCTCGTGAAGGCACTGTTGCCACAGTACGCACATACAAAATTGAAATCCTCTGGAATAGTTTTTGGTCACCAAAGAAGAGTGCATCAGAAGAGCAAAGGAAGGGAAAACCCTGCTGGTCAATATGAAAATACATCACTGGGTTTTGCCTCGACTGAAAAACTTATATGAAAAATAAATATAGGGCTAAATCCAATTGTAATGTAAATTAGTTTAAACCCACTGAAATCAATAGAACTTCTATAAGTGTTGATTAACACATTCCATTCATGTCAGTGGGTCTACTCTTTGGAACTAAACCAGATATAAATAGGATTAAGCCTTAATTCTTTGTTGGACATTTCTGTGTGTAGGCCTGTTCACACAAAAAATCAACCAGTTAACTTCAGCAAACTAATCAGCAATGGTTATGGGGACGAGTGGCTTCAGCAACGAGATGAGTGGGAGAAAAAGACTGCCCAGCCTAATGGTAATGTATTACAATTCCTTTTTAAACTGTGGTAGTTTTTGAAATAAGCAGTGAAGCTCACTCGCATTTTGCATGCTTTCGAACCGCTACGTTGGCGGGAGCTGGGACAAGCGATGGGGGCTCACTCCGACACGTGGATTTGATCTTACAACTGCAGGTCTTCTGACCTTGCAGCACAGAGGCTTCTGTGGTTTAACCTGCAACGCCACCACATCCCTTCAAACTCTGCAGATTCTTTTAGATTCTGCAAAATTCTTGAAACTAGACTCCAGTCTGTTTTCCCTGATTTTGTTTTCCTTCAAATATATTATTCTAAAAGGGAAATATTTGTGCTCAGTCTAAAGCATCGGCATATAGTTTTCATGTCCAAGGGCCTGCATCGACACAACAGGACCCCTTCTAGTGCTGTGTTGGTGAATTTTCACAGTGCAGCAATGGAGACAATATTTCAGGAAGCAGTAATTGATTCCCCAAAATGTGTGCTTCCTACATGTCTTTGTTTTAATTATGTTTTAATATTTATTTTATTTACCATTTTTAATATAATATTTGTATAGTTCTTCTTAAATATTTCGAATCTCCCATCCTTTTCCCCTGCCTTTTTGCCTTTGCAGCAGCAGGGGATCCCCAACATTTGTCAAAGTTACAAATGCATAAATGCTTAATCTTGATCGGATTTCAACAACTACGGCCTTCTAACAAGACAGAGTTGTTGAAAAGCATTCCCCCTGATCACCACTGCAGTCTGGAAGTCCAAGTGAAGTTGCAGTCAAAGAACACTCTAGAGCTATGAGTTTTTAGTCTGGAAGTAAATCCTAGAAATACTGTGAAGGTACTGACTGAGCCCTTTGCTGTTGGCAATGGGCCCATTGAAGTAGCCCTTACTGAATAACTGATAGTCTGTTTTGCACAAATGTGCATCGGTCAGTGGCAATTTAGTAATGTCTGACTGAATTCCAAGTACAGTGGTGCCTCGCATTACAAGCGCTCCGTTTGATGATGAAATCGCTTGACATTGATGTTTTTGCGATCGCAAAATGATGTTCCCTATGGGGGAATTTCGCTTTGCAATGATCGGTCCCCTGTTTCGGTAACCGATCATCGCAAAGCGATGATTTTTGCACAGCTGATTAGCGGTTTCAAAATGGCCGCCGGGTAAAAAAATAGGCGCCCACTATTTTCTGGCATGGATTCCTCACTGCACGGGCAGCGAAAATGGCTGCGCTGTGGAGGATCTTCACTGGACGGTGAGTTTGAAGCCCCTAGGAATGCATTAATCAGGTTTTAATGCGTTTCTGTGGGCTGTTTAAAATTGCATGACGTTTTCATTTTACAGCGATTTTCGCTGAATGAATTGACGTCGTCATGCGAGGCATCTCTATACCAAGGAAGGAGGATGCTCCTTGTAGTGGTCCTTTAGCTGCCCCGTTTAGGGTGGCCTTTACGTTTGAATTCCCACAACTAATGACTGAATTTACTTGGAATGAGTGATCTCTAATTCCCCATGGTATTACACATGTTCTTAAAAGTTTACTGTGAGAAGAACACAAGGGATAAAATGCCCCACTGCTTGACTTGCTGTATTTATCTTTGCGCACCAATGTTGTGTTGAAGTGCTGTGATTTAAAAACCTGTTATTTAAAACCTGCAACTTCAGTCCAGTCCAGAAACCTCTGTCAAGTTTTTAATGTCAACCAGTTGAAAAGCTATTCAGAAGGTTTTCAAATAAAACTCTCATTCTTCTGTTTTCTGCTGTAGCTGCTGATGCATCTGGCATATATATCAGTGACACCCTGCATGTATAACCAACTATACGCACTATATACATAGCCCATGCCAATTATGCCTACAGTGGACCTTCGACCTACGGAATTAATCCGTATTGGAACGGTTTTCGTAGGTTGAAAAGTCTGTAGGTCGAAAATGCATTTCCCATAGAAATGCACTGAAAACTATTTAATCCGTAACCGGCCCAAGACCCCCCCACACACACACACACAAATTAAAATAAATAAAAATTTACTTTTCTGAAGCCTTCCAGGGGTCTCCCGCCGCTGCCACCGCCACTGCCCGAGGCCTCCAAGGGCTTCTCCGCCGCTGCCGGAGGCCTTTTGAAGGTCCCTCGCTGCCACTGTCACCGCTGCCGGAGGACTCTCGGAGGTCCCCTGCCCCCGCCGATGCAGGCTTTCCCAGGGTGGACGGGACTACCAGGGGAGGGCTTCCCCCAGTAGGCCGTTTACTGCCCAGGAAAGCCTGGTAGACTGGGCCTACCAGGGGAGGGCTTCCCCTAGTAGGCCCAGTCCACCCTGGGAAAGCCTGCGTTGGCAGGGGGGAACCACCAGAGGCCTTCCCCGCCGCCATCTGAGGCCTCTCGGAGGTCCCCCGCCGCCAATAGTACCTCCAAAGCATGGTGGGGGACGACCTCCAAGAGGCCTCAGATGGCAGCAGGGAAGGTCTCTGGAGGTCCCCTGCCGCCGCTGCTGGGAGCCAAGCCATGCCAGGCGATCCCGGCCATGCTCGGACTCCTGGACTTCCCCCGCCACCGCTGCTGTCCAAGCGTGGCTCATCTCCCAGCAGTGGCAGCGGCAGTCCAGGAGTCCGAGCATGGCTGGGATTGCCAGGCACAGCTCCCAGCAGCGGAAGCGGCGGCGGGGGACCTCCAGATGCCTTCCAGGGCGTCTCCGCCACCATGGGAGGCATTTCGGAGGTCCCTCCCTGATGCCGATCATGCCTCCGAAGCATGTTCGGTGGCGGCGGGGGACCTCCGAGATGCCTCCCATGGCGACAGAGAAGCCCTGGAAAGGATCTGGAAGCACGATCGGCAGCCTATAGATTGGAAGGATCGACTTACAGACCCTTCCAGTCCGTAAGTCGATTCTCCGGCCGCAAGTCGTTTGGAAATCTTGCGGCCAGAGAAGTCCGGACCTCAGAAAGTACGTCGAGGGTCCACTGTATATCTATCTATCTATCTATCTATCTATCTATCTATCTATCTATCTATCTATCTATCTATCTATCTATCTATCTATCTATCTATCTATCTATCTATCTATCTATCTATCTATCATTAGATATCTAAAGATAGATAGATAGATAGATAGATAGATAGATAGATAGATAGATAGATAGATAGATAGATAGATAGATAGATAGATAGATAGATAGATAGATAGATAGATAGATAGATGCATAATTGGCATGGGCTATATGTATATAGTGGGTATGGTTGGTTATACATGCAGTGTGTCACTGATGCATCTATCATGAAAATGCAGTTCAGGGTAGACTGAATAACTTAATCAGATGAGTGACAAGCATGCTATATATTCATATTTTAAAAACAAATATAAATTGTAAAAACTAGGATAACTGGGAAAGCATACACAAAGCTAGCAATGTCTTTTGTTTACTTTAACCTTCTGAAGAGTTTGGTGTTGTATTTTCCTTTATTTTCAGATGGTCCCTGGGGCTACTGCTAAAGCAGACTATAAGCCACAGTGCATTTTAAATAACATGTGCTTTCAAGTGCTAAAAGCGCTTTAGATTCTTTTTTAATATACTATATGTTAAGCCTTTAAGATAAATCAGGAGTGTTACCCCTATATTGCAGATGCAGGCTGAGGCTGAAAGAACAGTGGTTGCCTAGTGAATCTGTGGCCTGTGCAATACATCGTGGATTGCCCACTTAGCTACCATACTACATCAATTCAAAATCACAATTGTGATTGTAGGCTGGATGCAGCTCTTACAGTATGTAGTATTATTGATCATAATACTTTACAGTTTATATACCATGTTGCAAGAATCCAAGGTACTTAAATGTTTTACATTTTTATAGTTAAAGAGCTGGAGATTTTAAAAATGAAAAACTGTTTTTTCACAGTATTTTAGCAAGTATTTTCTATTTCTCTTCTTTTATCTTGCAGATTCAGAGATGTCCCAGACAGAATCAACACAAACAGAAAATGAGTAAAAGCTGATTCCCCATAGAATTACCACAAAATTCTACCACTATTTCAGAAGAACACTAGGTGCAGAAAATTACAATACAAGTTTAAGAAGCAGGCTTCAATAATTAAATGTTGCTTTAGATTATGTGACTCCAACCAAGATATTTAAGGAACAGGCCATTTCATTCCTACTAGTTCCTCTGTTTAAGTAAGCTTACAAAGGTTATGAACTTGATCCAGTAATCAATTTCAATCCAGCACTTGAAGTCTGTGTGCTTGATTAAGTTGTTGAATGCCTTAGTCTGTGTCTCAACATGGTACTGCTTCTGAAGCCTGGTGCTATGGTTCAGCTGGAGCCTAGCCTTCTAAAGTTATACCAGTTGTCTTAGATGTGGTAAGCATTAGCAGCCCTGGACCCACAAAATCTGGTCAGTCTATGATGTGGTATGGAGTTGTATTGCCAGAGAGAGTATAGCAGAGCATTGCTGTTAGAACTGTTTTAGCAACATTAGTTTTGCAGTGCTGAACCTTTAGTCTTCATGTTTCTATCTTCCAGGTGTTGAGTGGAATAAAGGTCATATCCTGTGATGTTATTTATGCTGAATTTCATGCATACATTAGCCTTGAAATGATTATTTTGAAAGTTGGATTACACTGAGAGTTTTCAACATCACTCTTATTTTTTTCTGATTTGTACCTCACATCATATCAACTTCCATAAATACTTGGATTTTATTTGAATAAATACCACTAGAAAACGGGAGAATTGTCCCTCAGTGATTATTTTTAATAAAAAATATTATTTTTAATAATAAACCTTGAGATTGTAATTTATATTAAAACAGCAATTGATAAAATTATCAAAAATACAATTTATTTTCTCAATTTGCTTTTCATTTAAAACATGCAGGATATGAAAACAAGTTTAATGTATTATGTAACATTTCTTATTGCTACTTTAGGGGCCAATTTGGCAACAGTTCTGACTGTGTTACATACTTTGTTTAGTGCTTAAGGACTGTATATGTATCAAAAGGATCTCTCATCTGATCTGACCACACCAAGCTGTTGTATTTTTAAAAAAATTATCAAAGACTACCCTTGGGAACAACTGTTTAGAAACCCATCTGGAACAAATATGGCTCACTTCAAATTTCATTAGGTAAAGCAGTTTGAAGGCAGAAGAACAACTTCACAACTGTGTTTCAAAAAGCATTTCTTCTTACATGATCAGTACTTGATCTAGTTCTGCGCTTTGCTAAACTGTCCTATTCACTTTAACTGAAGGACAGCTCCACCATCTCTTAGTCCTTAGAGAACTATGCTTTTCTTTCCAAAGTTTGGAAGTAATCTATTAATCTTGAAAAATAAATGGTAAAACTTATTTTTACCAGTAAACAGGAGAACAAGCTGGGACACCTTTTAAAAATAATATTCAGAAAGGAATATTTTAATGTTACTTTCAAAACATTATTTGTAAAAGATTATATGTATCAGTTACTAATTGTCCTGTTTAATGCAAAAGTAACTATTTTAATATTAATATATTGGTTGAAATTCTGTCAGTCAGCTTTCTCTTGTGCAACAGGACTTACCTTATAATCAGTGACAGATTGATACTGATTGAAGACTTGAAGACTTCCTTTTTGATGCTGAGATGCACACAACTTCATCTCATTGCGTGCATCAAAAAAGGAAGTATTTAAATCAGTAGCAATTTATTGTTTACAATGACATCATTTTGCCCAGACAGAGCTGTGCAACAAGATTTTAGCCAATAAACCTGTTACTTCAAAGTTTGACACTTTTGACATGAACAGAGAAACTTCAAAATGCAGAGTTCTGTCTCATTGTGATTCTTTAGGAAGATCACTCATTTCTTCAGTTGTGACAGAAAAAGAGCATAGCTTTTAAAAGCATTTTGGTTTGATGCAAATGCAAGATTCAGGTTATGTCTCATAAACTGAGAGGTTCAAAACTTTGGGTTTTTTAAAGTTTTGCAGTTGACTTTCCTTCTGTTGTAGTGCAGAAGCCATTTTTATTCTGTTAATTGCTGTTCCACATATATAAAATAAATTAACAAAATTATTGTCTTCTACATTGTGTTTCATTTGTTTTTCTGGAATACCATGTTACAGTATTGCATATCCTAATCACATTAATAACTAACAGATTAGAACTCATTTCCCATTATTTTAGTTTGAAGAGAAGGGCGGGCTAAATGTTGGAAAATAAATAAATAAATAAAAATAACCTAGCAGCCTTAAGATCTGACTACCCTTATCTCCGGTTTTACCCAGATAAGGTCAAACTCGTTGTAGATATTTCTTTCCTGCCTAAGGTTGTCTCCCAGTTTCACCTATCCCAACCCCTGGTTCTTCCATTCTTCTTACCATCTCCATCTAATCCTCAAGAATGGATTCTCCATACCTTAGATGTTAGATGGGTTCTGGCTTTCTATATAGTCTGCACCCAATCTTTCAGGCACTCAGACTCTTTGTCAGCTATCCTTACAAAGACCTCCAAGTACAGTGGTGCCTCGCAAGACGAGCGCTCCCTTTTACGATGAAATTGCATAACAATGTTTTTGCGATCGCAAAACAATGTTTCCTATGGGGGAATTTTGCTTTGCGATGATCAGTTACCTGCTTCGGGAACCGATTCTTGCAAAACGACGATTTTCCTACAGCTGATCGGCGGTTTCGAAATGGCCGCTGGGTTAAAAAAATGGCCGCCTGCTGTTTTCTGGGACGGATTCCTCACTGCATGGGCAGCAAAAATGGCCGTGCTATGGAGGATCTTCGCTGGACGGTGGGTTTCAAGCCCTCAGGAACGCATTAATCGGGTTTTAATGCGTTTCTATGGGCTTTTTAATTTCGCTTTACGATGTTTTCATTCTACAGCGATTTCGCTGGAACGAATTAATATTGTAATGCGAGGCACCACTGCGCAGTGAATATCTAGGTGGGTAGCATCTGCTATCCAGCTTGCTTACCAGCTTGCTCGCATTCCAGTGCCACAAACTATCCACCCTTATTCCACCAGGGCATTCGCGACATCCCTGACATTTCTCTGAGGGATACCCCTCACTGACATTTGTGACTCTGCTGCATGGTCACAGCTGTCCACATTTATCAATCGCTATTGATTGGACATTCATCAGAAGTCTGATGCTGCTTTTGGTTGTGCTGAGTAGTAATATTACTACTGTGCTGTACTATAATCTACCTTGGCATGACACCCTCCTCCGGGTAAGGAAACTTGTTAAGTCACCCAGTGTGATTCACAGAGGCCACGAAGAAGAATGACAGGTTACCTACCTGTAATTCCAGTTCTTCAGTTATAGGATTCAATGGACCTCTGTGATTCATACATCTCAACCCGGCCTCCCCACTGTCACACCCTTCTTTTTACACAGCAGTTGACTTAACTGAAGGGAGAGCCTTGGTGCCAAGGTACATATACTGGAGGGAGGGGCCTGCACTAGTGTATCTTTTTGCACTACATAAGCTCTAGAATATTCCAATGAGACTCCGCACACGTGTGGACCACCCATAGTGTGAATCACAGAGGTCCACTCGAAGAACTACAATTACAGGTAGGTACCCTGTCATTTTTCTTGAATGCCTCCAGTGTTGGAGTACTCACCAACTCCCTAGGTAACTGGTTCCACTGTCATACTGCTCTAACAGTTAGGAAGTTTTTCCTGATATTCAACCAAAATCTGGCTTCCTTTAACTTGAACCCATTGTTGTGTGTCCTGCACTCTGGGATGATCAACATCATTTACACCAGTGCTGCACACATTTTATGTAAAATATATGTCCAGTCATTTCCTGAATAAGGGAACCTTAAGTTTTTTCTTCCTCACTGGTGACCTGTCTTTGCCCAGTTTCTCTGTTTAATTATATTCCATATACACTCCCTTGGTGATATAGTTAACTGTGATGATTGAAGAAAATTATGGAAATGCTGTCTCTTTAAAGAGCATTTGTACGCTAGAAGAGTTGCACTGATTTCTAGGGTTATTTTGTGTTCTGTGTGGTAATTCAGGATTTCCTGCAGGTATTTCCTTTAGTGCTGCATCACTGTATCAAGTTGATTTCTCAAGCAGAGTTTCTTGAAGTACACACTAGACACACCATGAAACCATGTTTCCCATCTTTGAAGCAGGTATTTCCTTTAGTGCTGCATCACTGTGTCAAGTTGATTTCTCAAGCAGTTTCTTGAAGTACACATTAGACACACCCTGAAACCATGTTTCCCATCTTTGAAACTGCAAATATAGAAGAAAGGTTTTTAAAGGGAGTCCTCTTTCTTACCGGATCATGCACCCATAGGAAAATACAGGGACACTTGTACAGTGCACGCAGTAGAGTGTTACAAATATATGAAACTGACACATTGACTCACAAGCCAGAGGGGTCTGTTAAGTACTGTATAGATAAAGACTTCTCTGCAGTACTGAAAGACTTCCTGTTTCTTTCCTCTGAATAGCAGATTCACATGCTTTGAAAATTAAAATCTGTTCTTAAAAAAACAACACTATTTCGAAAGGGGGAACAGGAGTAGTTGGCTATCAGTTGGAGATTTCAGGTTGCTGGCTGCCAGAGCCATAGCTAGCCATTTTGGCACCAGGGGCAAGCAGCCCCATCTCTCACCTACTCCACTGTGAGGCATAGGCACAAGCCCCCATGAAAAGGAAGAAGAATGTGATAGCCTACCAAAATAAAGTTTATGTTTTCAAGAGAAGAAAACTGAATAAGGCCAAGAAGTGTTGGTGTTTATTTTCTCAACATTCACCGTTAGTTTCTCATCTAAATTTGGGCGGCCTGGGAGAAAGCCCCAGTTGCTCTGTGGACTACTGTATGCCTAGTGGTCCTCTGAACTTGTCCAGAGTAGTACAGTATAAGGAGATTTGGTGTGTCACCAGAAATGAATGCATGCACACACACGTGAACTTTTAAAGTACAGTACTATAGGTAGTGTCTAGTTGCAAATAGGGTAAGCTCACTGCATCAATGGAACTTGCGGAGCAGGTGAGTGATTGACTAACTCCCCACTGATCCAACCGACTTTTCGTATGTAGGAATTTGTTACTGGATTTCAGCCAGGCTATACCACACATTACCGGGGGGGGGGAGGAGCCGGCAAAGCACCAGACTACTTGCCATCAAATGTAAAAATAAATGTTCTTTTTTACAGGTTTGTGATAGGCAAGAGTTCACCAAGTCAAGCGCCTCCCCAGCCATCAGAGCTTTGCATGCGAAGTGGCTGAAAAGAAACCGGCAAAGATCGGGCCCTTTCTCTAGACCTGGTAGATCTGAATAATGATGACAAATGCCGACCGGAAACGAAGGCGATCAGGAGGAGGAAGGAGACCGGCTCCGAGTCACCTTTTTTTTTTTTTATTGCAATGTTCTGTTGCTTAAGCGACAGCGGCTTGGAGGAGCCTGAATAACAGGAAACCCACCGTTGGGGCGGGCAGGGTAACCCAAAGCGCCGGGCCTCCTGGCTCTCTAGGCGGCTGCAGTGTTTGCACTGCAGGGACTCTGAGAGCGAGCGAGCGAGCGAGCGAGCGGGGGCACCTCTTACCTGTTTGCTCTCTGGCACCTCGTTCTTTCCACCTGCTGCTTTGTTCGTTAAGGTAAGCAGACATGGCGGGTGGCTCCGGGAAGGAGGGCAGGGTCTGTGTGGACCCCTGTTGTGTGCAAAGGGGGGGGGGCGCGGCGCTGGCTGCCTAGGCGGCGTCCCCTCTTCTCAAGGTCTGGATGCTTCCATGTCTTCCTTCAGGAGAGAAAGTGGTGGTCCAGCGTCGCCCTCGCGGAGAGCCGGAAGGAGGGCGCCCCCTGCGCGGGGTTTTGCTTCGCGCCTCTGTCGCCTCGGCGCCTTGTGGCGTCGCCCCTCGCCGGTGCCCGCTTGACCCGGAGCTGCGGCGGCGGCGGCGATGGGCTTGGGGAAGCGAAACCACCCGGGGACCGTGTTGCCCGCTTCAAGGGCAGTAGCGACGGCCACCTCTCTCTGCCTTCATTTAGTCTTTCAGGCTGCACCGGTGTCTCCCACCCCGCGAAATAATGATGGCTAGAGACCTAACCCACACGGAGAAGCAGGGTTCTGCGTTGTTCTGTGGCTGGCATGCTTATTTCTCCATCTTTCCCACACAGTTCCTTGTATGGGAGCATTCAGGAAATAATTCCTCACCAGACGGGTTAGGTTCCAGGAAGAGCTTTATTGCTGCATCACGAATCGTTGCTGTCATGGTTTTTTGAGGCTTCTAGAAAACTCCTTTTCTCCCTTTTTTCTGTTGTGGAAGGGGAAAAAAAAAAGAAGGCAAAGAATGATCCTTGCGGGCACTTGCTTCATTCTTTCTTCTTGGGGCAGGAGAAGAGGGGGAAGGCGCTTTGCCCAAGCACGGCTTTCTGTATGTGTGGGTTCGCTCTGTGGATCTTTTTGCACCGGATCACATGCTTTGCAGCCGAGCCAAAGGATTTCATCTTTTCAAAAGTAGAAAGATCTCTGGTGAGGAAGGAAAAAATACAGATTGTGGGCGTGGGAATTTTGGGTGATGTGCATTTCCCATGACATCATGTGATCTTTGGGAAGAATGTGATTCAGACCTGCAGTATTTCCCGTATATTTTCCTGTGTAATCAGTCTTTAACACTCTCTACTTACTTTCAATAATGAATACACAGTGGAAGTGAAGAACAGATTTAAGGAACTTGATTCGGTGGACAGAGTGCCTGAAGAACGTTGGATAGAGGCTGCTAACATTGTACAGGAGGCAGCAACAAAAACCATCCCGAAGAAAAGGAAATGCAAGAAGGCAAAGTGGCTGTCCAACGAGGCCTTACAAATAGCAGAGAAGAGAAGGGGGGAAAATGCAAGGGAGATAGAGAAAGTTATAGAAAATGGAATGCAGACTTCGAAAGAATAGCAAGGAGAGACAAGAGGGCCTTCTTAAATGAACAGTGCAAAGAAACAGAGGATAATAATAAAAAGGGAAAAACCAGAGATCTGTTCAAGAAAACTGGAGATATTAAAGGAACCTTTTGTGCAAAGATGGACATGATAAAGGACAAAAAAGGTAGGGACCTAACAGAAGCAGAATACATCAAGAAGAGGCAGCAAGAATACACAGAGGAATTATACCGGAAAGATCTGGATGTCCCAGATAACCCAGATAGTGTGGCTGCTGACCTTGAGCCAGACATCCTGAAGAACCTCTTAATGAGGGTGAAAGAGGAGAGTACAAAAATGGTCTGAAGCTCAATATCAAAATAACTAAGATCATGGCCACTGGTCCCGTCACCTCATGGCAAACAGAAGGGGAAGAGATGGAGGCAGTGACATATTTCACTTTCTTGGGCTCCATGATCACTGCAGATGGTGACAGCAGCCACGAAATTAAAAGATACCTTCTTCTTGGGAGGTAAGCAATGACAAAAAGAAGAGACATCACCTTACCGACAACGGTTTGCATAGTCAAAGCTATGGTTTTTCCAGTAGCAATGTAAGGAAGTTAGAGCTGGACCATAAAGAAGGCCTACAGTATTTATTTGGTGCTTGCAGTAAATACACAGTAAATGCCAGACTTACTTGTGCAAAGTTGTTTATTTTACTGGATTCCTTTTTAAAAGCAATACTGCAATCTCTAATCTTTATCTCATTTATTTGTTTCATTTGTATTTTGTATTTATTTTCTCTTCTTCCTCAGGCTCTGACGATTACAATGGCTTTCCAGAAGAATATGGTGGATGAGCAACATTCAGAGTAAGAACAGGATCTGCTGCCATTTATTAGGATTAAGTATAGACTGAAAGTGCAGAATGCCTTAAAATGGAAACAAGAGTGCAGAAAAACAAGTGTCTTTCCATCCTCTTTACCATTGCTATCTTAGAAGTAGTGCCATAAAAGACTGGATATGAGGCTATATGCATCTTTGGCTACCCTTGTGTTCCTTCTAATTCCTATTGCTGTTCTGATATTATTTAAGTCTTAGGCATCTGACCAGAATAGAACGATTGCAACAAAACTGTATTTTCCAAAATATGATTTGTTCATTTTTGTGGTAACAGTTAGGCCTACAGCAATTCTTTGAATTCTGTGAACAATAGATAAATGAAGAATTGATGCTTTTGAATTGTGGTGCTGGAGGAGACTCTTGAGGGTCCCCTGGACTGCAAGGAGAACAAACCTATCAATTCTAAAGGAAATCAACCCTGAGTGCTCACTGGAAGGACAGATCCTGAAGCTGAGGCTCCAATACTTTGGCCATCTGATGAGAAGAGAAGACTCCTTGGAAAAGACCCTGATGCTGGGAAAGTGTGAGGGCAAGAGGAGAAGGGGACGACAGAGGATGAGATAGTTGGACAGTGTCATCGAAGCAACCAACATGAATTTGAACAAACTCCGGGAGGCAGTGGAAGACAGGAGGACCTGGCGTGCTCTGGTCCATGGGCTCATGAAGAGTCAGACATGACTTAATGACTAAACAACAGTTTACTATTATGCTCTAGGAATTGTTCAGACCTGATTTCCATATCCCAGCAAATTACGAGTTTGTTTGCCCAAGAAAGCACACAAGGTAGCTATCCAGAGTAACAGTATATCTGACACGTCAGTATTGTCAGTGGATTTTTTGCCCCAAAATAGAAGCATTTTGGCATGGCATAATCAATTGGATGGAAATGCTGACTAATCAAAAAAACTGTGAATAAAACATTAGTATTATTTTCAGCATTTACAGGGGGAAATGAGAAGCTATTTAATAAAGACCTAATTGCAAATATTATAGGGATGGCAAGGTGTGAGATTGCTAAAAGCTGGAAAAACACCCAAGAGCTTTCATTACAGACATTTTAATAGGATATGGCAAATGCTCTTGATGGAGAAATTGACCAATAAGATCAGAATATACAGAAAACAAATAAAGCACAGTCACTTTTTCGAAACTTGGAAACCTTTATTAAAATACGCCCATGAACGAAATGAGAAGTCACATGATTTAGGGAATAATATAAATTGCTCAGATTGTTGGTCAGTAACTTTCTAGAATAGAATGGGGAAATTACACTTTGAAATTAAGTGTAATTTTGTTAAATGATGTGAATAGCTGGTGTTTAGAATGTTACAATATTCAGTAAGTAAAATGAATAGTTAATTATATTATCTGTAATAGGATTGATTGTCTAAAATATTTTGTTATTTTTTTTAAGTATTGTCAGTGTTCTAATCTTAGTTCTTCAGTCATCAGTGGTTGCCTTGTTTAAAGATAATTGTATCCAATCTATGAATTCATTCTAGCTTACTCTCTCCTTTAACAGGGGAACCTTCGTTCATGTTCCCAACCCACACCTTGAGAAGATGAAAAGTGACATCCTATATCATTTTGCCCTTGGGACTGGTACTCATGATTTTCCTGCCTTATTTGGAGATGTAAAGGTTAAAAAAATACACTGACTTTGCAATAAAGTAGGACTTGTTTTCCCCTTCCCCCTGAACAACTCTCTTCTATGAGATTTCTCTGGCATCAAGCACTACACCAGGCATAGACAGGTTTAAGGCTTGCTTTCGCTCTCAAAGTCCAAGTTATTCCACCTGGAGTCAGATTCTGAAGAGGGTGGGGAGGCACACAGTGTGGGAGGTTGAATGGTATACTTGTCTGGGCAGAATTAGGGGGCTCCACAGCCAAGCAGCTGTGGGAGTGCACTGCCACTTGACATATATGTGCACTACTGATGGGGGTATTCACATACGAATATGAATAACCCCACACAGGTGGTGATAATGAGGGTCCAGCCCCATGGGGCCGGGCGGTCCACTCACCGATCTGCCGCTGCCGTGGACACCGTGATTCTTCCAATGGCTCCACAGACTGCAATCGGCTAGCCACTCCTGGCAGGAGGCGGGAGGACAAAACTTGCTGCAAGGTTGAAGACTGGCTCACCAATCGCGATCCGCAGAGCTATTGGAAGAATCGCGATGACGGATTGGTGACTGGACTGTCCTGCCCCATGATGCTGGATCCTCATTGTCACCACCTATGCGGGTATATTCGTATTTGTATAGGAATGGTGCACATTAGAGATGGGGGTATTCGTATTCGTATAGGAATACGAATACCCCCGTCTCTAATGTGCACCATGAGTGGTTTGTGTCTTGACTATCAGAGGTGTCAAGGCAGAGGGGGTGTCAGGAAGAACCAGTCTTGCTCCATCTTCTATATTTAAGGCTCAGAAAGCATGCCCTCACAAACTGGAAAAAAATGACACCATCAGATGGCATGAAAATAAGTACTTGCCACCTGCCTTCCCTGAAGTTGTTGCTTGTAGGTGTAGAACAGAAGGATTTGCATGTTCCTAAGTGATCCAGTTCTTGTTCCTGCTGAATCCAGTCTTTTGTTGCTGGGCACTCAATTGTGGGTGGCAAAAGCTTTGCAAGTGGGAGGATGAAAACAGGATTGGTAGAGAGGTTCAAATAGGTAAGAGGGTGGAGAACCTGATGGAATGAGCCTGTTTGGCTGGTTGGAACTGGAGTAGGTGAAAGCATTAGGGTGGGTAAGAACAGTAGGGAAAGGGTGAAGAGGTAAGATTATAGGGAAAGTTGTGGGAAATGGTCATGTTGGGTAGGTATGGTAAGTGAGGAAAGGATGTGGAAAGCTGGGTTGGGCAGGTGAAAGTAGGGTGGAATGGTGAAGGGAACAAATTTATGTGGAAACAACTAATGGTGTAGCTTAAGGAAGTTTGGCGGTAGGCATAATAGCAGTGTAATATATGTGCAAAGCCCAAGCAGGCTTGGCTTGCAAGAGTAGCAATGTAGAATTTAACCTTTCCTGCCAAGAGTAGTGAAGTGCTGTGCTCTTTCCTCCTATTTTTCAACATTTTCAAAGCCATGAATTATTCTCTAGATCAATCAGATAATGAATATTGAGATGAGGGTTAACCATTTTGAAGTAATAAAGTGGGATGCCTGTGTGATCTGCATAACATGGGCAAGGGAAACCTAGAGAATACAGGCGGACATCCAAATGCGATGATCAGAATTGATGTTATTATAGGCCATTTGTTGGTCTACCAGTGGGATTAGAGCACTTTCCATTATCAGTAGCAAAAATACTAATAAATTTGGGGAATAAAAGAAAGTGGATGGCAATAGACCCATTTTTTTTCCTTAAAGGAACCCAAGTAAAGGTAAAGGTAAAGGCTCCCCTTGACAATTTTTTTTGTCCAGTCGTGTTCGACTCTAGGGGGCGGTGCTCATCCCCGTTTCCGAGCCATAGAGCCAGCGTTTGTCCGAAGACAATCTTCCATGGTCACATGGCCAGTGCGACTTAGACACGGAACGCTGTTACCTTCCCACTGAAGTGGTCCCTATTTATCTACTTGCATTTGCATGCTTTCGAACTGCTAGGTTGGCGGTTCGAAAGCATGCAAATGGCACCCAGCTGTTGGCAAATGTGACCTCTCCTTCACCACTCACCTTTTAATTTTGCACCTTTTCTCCATACTCTCATCCTTTCTGCACCCAGTCCCTACTCGAGTTTTAAATTTTTTCTAAAAATCTATTGCTTACTTAGTGTTAGTGCACCTCAGAAGGATGTATAATAATTCTGACAGTCTTCTTTCTCTCTTTAATCTGCTTAGTTTGTATGTGTTGGCGGAAGCCCTTCACGGATGAAAGCTTTTATTACCTACATGGCTGAAGAGCTAGGAATTGGTGGCCCTGGTAGTGACTATCCCAATATATGTGCGGGAACAGATCGGTATGCCATGTACAAAGCAGGTCCTGTGCTGTCAGTCAGTGTAAGTAGTCTAAATACTTATGCATCTGAGGTGTGGATATCAATGTCCATTAAAAAGAACCTTGGGATCAGGGTATTATAACATATGTGTGTTATTTAAAGTCTTATAAATGCACCTGAATTGTACAATTTAAAATTAGTTCAAAAGGAACATGATTTCCCATATAATCAAGGAGTATTTTCCACATACTCTAGGAGCCTAGAGTCTTTCTTTCCCAAGCCGCAGGCTACCATCCTCATCACAAACAGCTTTTGAAAATTATTTTGTTTGGAATTGGGGAACAGAATCAGCTGTTGCAAGACAAAAAGTCAATTTTTTTCTGAGAATTTCAAAGCCATTGGGAATGAAGAAAATAAATCCTTGAATTCCAGACATATTTTTAATTCTATGCTGATAAAGATTTCAGAATATTTTGGTTTTAAATTTTTTTTTCTAGCACTCTTGAATATACTTCAAGCAAACTATCAGTGAAGGCTAATGTGCCCATGAGATATCTGTTTATTTTCCAGATATTCAAAAGCACACTTTGGAATTTTATTATGGGAAATTAATTCAATAGTACAATTGAATTAATACAATAATACAATTGTATTTTAGGACCTTGAGTGAAGCAAAAGGCGACCAGTGTAGACATTAAAAATGCTCTAATATTTTTGTAATGTCTTTTGCTTATACTTTGATAACATATCAGTATCGTTCCCACCTCAGCCATATTTCTACATTTGCTCTTTGACTGGCAGAGGCTTTATTCTTTCACATTGTATTATGTCTATAATTGGATAACTCTCACGTTGGTCACTTTTTGATAACTTTCACTTTTGTGTCTGTGCCTACAGTCATTTTCATGTTATTATACACAGGTTCAATAGACCAGAGGTCCTCAAACCCTGGTCCATGGCCTGGTGCCGGTCCGTGGCCTGAGCCGGACTGGACTGTGGAGAGAGACCGCCCCCACCCTCGCACGCACTCCCCCCTGCACAGCTTGTTTGCACCTGTGCATGAGTGTATGTGCCTGCATGAGCACTGCACCACCCTTTTGCACATGCGTGTGACTGCCCTCCTTTTTAGTCTGCAGGTCTAAAAAGGTTGGGGACCGCTGCAATAGACCATCAAGTAGGGGAGGGCATGACATTTTTGGTATGTACCTATCTATGTGTGCAGGTTTCACTAAGATCCTGGTCACACAAGGAAAATGTTTTCTTGTTCTGATTCTTTCCATACCTCTGTTGTATTTAATCATAGTCATGTGGTTTATATCCCAGGATGAACATCCCAAAAAGATTTAGCAGTATCGACTTATTTCCTGCTATTTGGATCGTTATGGCCAACTACACTATGGTATCAGTTTGTATTCTGTGTTGGATCAAGGGGCAGTTTAGCCCATTGATATAGAATGTGTGGCGCTCATCTGGGAGGATTGAGGAATGAAGTCTGGGAACAGGGGTGCTCATGGAGAAACCTTCCCTTGCACTGCTGGTTCAGAGGACTGGGAGGATTTTGGATTCGCTTGAACTGGTATCTCCTCTGATTCCTGCAGGAAGAGCAGCCTCTCTTCTTTGGCCACTTGAGAAAGCTTTTCTTCCACCTCCAGCCCTAAGCCCACTGGAGGAGGAACGATGGCGGCTGATCTACTGAGAAGTTTTTTTCCTCTTAGAAACACCACTGGCCTTCATTTTTCTGGTGCTATAACTCCTATCTCCTAAACCACAGTCACCATTGAATTTAGAAATAAAGGGGAGGGGAGGAGGCTTGCTCACAAATAAAAGGAAAAGTTAACCGGGCTGATCTAACAGAAGGTTGTAATCAAAGAATAGTTTAAAAAGAAGGTGGGGTCCTCAGAAAGGAGAAACAGGATGGTGGGTAAGGAGTTGAATTAAAAAATCCCAAAGCACCCACCCTAACCCAGAAGTGGAGCCAGCCAAACAGGTAAATTTTGAGAAGGAAAAAATATATTTTTTAAAAAATAAGAGGAACAGGACAGGAGCAGGGAGAAGTAGGAAAAATATCCAAAGAACCAGTATCCAAAATATCCAAAGAACAAGTATCCATTCAATGCCCACCATACACACACAGACAAAGAGAGACAGTGATTAATAGAAGGAAGTGCAAAATACACACACACACACACACACACGTGTGTGTGTGTGTGTTTAAAAATATTTATTGTTACGTCAATATATCAGAAATAAGTCTCCCTCTAAGGTGTGTGACTGCATGAGTGCACTTGACTCTGCATCCCATGTGCACAGCTTTCCTCCTCCCCCGTGCACCCACAGCTTTTGTTTCCAGCCCCTTTTGTTCTTGTTGCAGTGGAATTCCATGTGTGGTGTGTGTGTGTGTGCTGTTTAGGAAAGTGTCCCTCTGTGGCACTGGGTGCTCCTGCAGAAATGCATTGTGCACAATGGACTTGTAATATCCACGCAGCAGTGCTGGCAATCACCCTTCCCTGTGACATTGGTATACCAATGTTTCAATGTATATTCCCACAGGAGAGAAAAAAAGAATATTTGCCTGTAATGTAATGGCAGCCCCCACCACATTCCAGTGACATACTTTTATCAACATACTGATGTATCGGGCATGATTTTTTTTTAAAAATATCCACACTGCCACCTTCCTGGTTTATAGAAGCAGGGCAGGTCGAGCACACAGACAATCCTGGTAAGGAATGTGCCGGTATAACAAAGGTGCAAAATAACACAACCCTCCTGGCAATGGGGTGATGTTCCACAATTACACTGCTAGCCAGGAAAATGTCTCGGTCTTGACTGTGTCATGTGACCAGGAAAAAAAAACAACATAACCGGTGGATAACTACATAACATTTCCCTCATGTGAGTAGGGCCTAAGTGTGGAAGTGGGAATGATTTCACCATGCAACAGAAAAAAAACTACTATGAGTTTGGCATGTGGAAGTCATAGGACTCATTTACTGCAAGCAATACTGCTGAAGAGCTGTTCCTTTAATTTCAGCTGTTCTCATCTGTATTTGCCACTTAACGTCTTTCTTTGTATTTACTTCTTTTTTGGAAGATTGAACCTGCCATTTTTAATGCTAACATTTCTAGGGGAACATATATAAAATAAAACAGTGAAAACAGAAAAGCAAATATGAAAATAATTTAGAGAGCAGAATACAGAAGTAAAAAAGCAAACGCATGTTAAAAGACAGCTAAAACACTATGTGGTGGGGGGAGAGATTTTTATCTGGTAGTACAAGGGCTGGGGAGGGAATTTGGAAATCGGGGCATTATCTAACTAAAATGACCCACTCTGTGGTCACTGCTGGCCTCACCCTTGACAGCAGTGGGATTAAGAGATGGGTTTCTAAGAAAAGTCTGAATATAGAAGCAGGCTTGTGTTCCTAGACATTGCAAAGACACTTCAGATACAAAGTGTAATTATGAAGTGATAACTGTACTTACAGATAATTCCCCATTAGTTACTGTTTTGGATACAGTATGTTATTAGTGGAAGTATGTAGTACAGGATTTGTATTTTTCCTGCTCCCACTTTAGTGCCTAGAGGATCAGAAATGATCCCACATACAATCTCTCTATTCTTTGTCATGCACATATACATAATCCAGAACACACTGTGCTACAAAGAGAAAATTTATTATACAAATAGGTTAATAATCTTTGTATTTCCCTTCCCTTTTCATTTCAGCATGGAATGGGGATCCCTTCAATTGCTATCATGTTGCATGAGCTTATCAAGCTGCTGTATCATTCCAAATGTTCCAATGTAACAATTTTTCGTATTGGCACATCTGGTGGAATAGGTAACTCTACAATTTTTATTTTATTAAAGTAAAAATGGTTTAAATATTCACCGTTATTCATTTGCATTGTCTAGATGTAATCAGGAAACAGATAACATAGTATGCTTGAAATGCAGGTTTGCCACCAGGATCTGTTGTGATCACCAAGCAATCTGTTGATGCCATGTTTAAACCTCAGTTTGAACAGATTATTCTGGGGAAGTCTGTATTTCGCAACACAAACTTAAATGAGAAGCTGGCTGAAGATCTGATGGAGTGTGCCAAAGAATTGGATCAATTCAACACAGTTATTGGGAATACTATGTGCACTCTGGACTTCTATGAAGGTAAGACTAGTGATGTACAACCATACAGTATTGATATGAATATCAAAGCTAGCACAATCAGTACATTTGGATAATTCATCAGAGGGAGGGTGGGATACTCAGCAAGGTGTATTGGATAGAATGACGGACAAGGATTCAGGAGGCCTAAGTTTGAATCCCACACTATCTAGGAGTATGGAACTAAATGTCTCACTTTAACTTGAAAGCCCTGTTAGACTTGTTATAAGTTGGTTCTAACTTGATGGCATATAGTAACAAGGATGGGATACCTTATGAATGCTTTCCCACGAAGAATAATCTTTGTACAGACAAAACCTTGCACATGCAAAACAACACCCCCAGTGGAAGTCTAGTTATGTATTTTTAAAGATTTCTTTCCCTCAATCACTCGATCTCTCTGTGTCTCAAACTATGGAAGTCCATTCAATGATGTAATTTTCCCAAACAGTATTCTCAAATATTATGGTCTAAAAGCAGGCTTATGTTTTTAGTTACTGTTTATGTGAACTGAGGCTTGGACCGTAACCTGTCAATTTTAATTAAATTTATATAAGATAAAAATGCCATGTCACACACGTGGCATACATCTGAGTTATAACAAATGAGTGGTCCCACTGATCTAGGGTTGAGGGTGAGGGGAGATATAAGAGGCAAATGTGTTGAATTAAAACCCATTGTGAATTAATCCTCCCCCCCTTTTAATGGTGAATTTATTTTTCATGAATTATCCCAGAGACCTGAACAGTCATACCAAAAGTAGTCACAGTGAGTTCACCATGGGTATGTTTGGAGACATAATATCTCTATTTTACTATATTTATTTGAGATATTTGGTGGATATCATGGATCAGGCTATTGAGTGAATATATTGTGTTACTCAGCCAATGAGGCCAGCATCCTCATCCATGGAGCACAGCAGCAGAAACTTGCTCAGTTCCATTCTGCCACTGGAGATAAGCATTGTTATCCAGGACAATATTAACCTATGGCTGGGCCCCTAAGCTTTCAGATATTTCTGCCCACCTCTGGCACTTCAGTCTTTCATCCCACTACAGCTGACAGCCTGACCCTGGTACAGTACGTACTACATCACAGTACATAGCCCTATACCCATTTTGAGGGTCTCCTGAAGAATTATATTCACAAGGTAGGAACTTTTCAGCACACGTAAACAAGGTCACAACTGGACTGCATTGCTCATAGAGGTGTACAGTGGTGCCCCGCATGACGGCGATAATCCGTCCCATGAAAATAGCTGTTTAGCGAAATCATCGTCATATCAAAACCCTTTCCCCATTGGAATGCATTGAAACCCGGTTTAATGCGTTTCAATGTGGAAAATACCTCGCCGACCAGCGAAGATCGCCCATAGGGAAGCCATTTTGCAAGCGCTGATCAGCTGTAAAAATGGCTGCCCTGCGAAGCATAGGTCCGGAAAACACAGGGCAGCCATTTTGCGAAGCTGAAAAAATCATCATCTTGCGAACAAACAGTTCGTGAAACATGGAACTAATCGAAAATCCCCCATTGGAATGACTGTTTTGCGAATCACTATAGCGATCACAAAAAGTCATCGTTATGCGGATTTGTCATTTAGTGGGGTCATCGTTTAGCGAGATACCACTGTAATAAGGGAGGATGAGCAGCATGATGTTACAGTCCTGATGCCAGTGCACTATTGCTCTGCTATCTCCCTCCACTCAATGTCTTACAGCAAACCTCAGCTGACTACAAGTGTGCCTTGCAACTTCTCAAGTTTTTTACATAATGACTGCTTGTTCAGCATATGGCTGTATGAAAAGGGATCGAAGGGATTTTATAACATTCCACATGTAAGTGGAGAACTTTAGAACAATACACATTTCATAGAAATTGACTAAAATAGATGGGTATATGTGAACTGAAATGAAGCATCTCCTGCCTTTTATTACTCTCACCTGAATATTGGAATAGAGATATGGACTAAAAAGGAACCAGTAAGCAGTATGGCATTAAAGTGTGTGTGTGTGTGTGTGTGTGTGTGTGTGTGTGTGTGTGTGTGTGTGTGTGTGTGCTCCCCTCTTA